CAAGGATCACACAATTTCAAAGTGTAACTCCTTTAGATTGATGTCCAAATCTTTTAAAGTCCTCCACAAATAAAGTATAAAAAGACCATGGGCGAACCTAACTCAAACCTGCCAATAAAAACAACTTATTCCACGAATATAAAACAATAGGGCAATGCAAGAACAAATGATTAATACTTTCACAATCACCACAACACATAGCACACCAATGCAAAGAAAGACAAGTTTGATGTTTTCTCCTTTGAAGCATATCATTATTATTAATTTTGCCATACCCAATTGTTCATGCACAAGCCTTCACCTTACTAGGCAGTAGGCACCTTAGTCTTCTATATCATTAATAAGGGAGAGAAAATGGAAACATGTGAATCATCAATTTGGAACTCAAAAAAGAACTTGCTAGAAAACATAGCCAAAGACTCGAGCACCCACTTCCTGTTATCAAAAGAGTCATGGTTAATGCGGATGTTATCAAGTAAAGAAAGAAGAAGCATCATATCACTATCATTCAAATTCAAAATTTCAAGATAATGAACGAGAACTCGAATGTGTCATAGAGATGATAGACACATTGTGAGTTTGAGATAACTGATACAGTCAAGGAAACAAACATGACAAATAAGACTCCCCTAACTAAATATTCTCCCAAAATCGAATTTTTCCCCCATTACCCACGAGGAATCGTACATTAAGAGAAAACTGAGGTAATCCATGAGAAATGAATTTTTAGGGGCATCAAAAACTCTCTTTCCACCCCATTAGTATCTCAACCATTGACATGTAATTCATATTTGCTCTTGATAACTGAATGCCATAGAGAACCTTGTTCCAATGGAAATCTCCAAAGCCATTTGTCCATTTGCGCCACATTTCTTGCCTTCAGATTGCCCATTCCAATACCCTTTTTTTCCTTACATCTAGAAACCACCTCCTAACTTACCAAATGGTCTTCTTTCCTTCGCCCATTCTTTTCCATAGAATATCTCTCATTATTTTTTCAATCTTCTGAGCAACTTTATTTGGCATTTTGAAAAGAGATAAGAAAAAAGTAGAAATACTTGGTAAAACTGATTGCATTAATGTTAGCCTACCCCCTTTAGGAATGAAAGCTCTCTTTCATCTGTTTAAGCTCTTCCCCACTCTTTCAATGATTGGTCCCAAAAGGTCATAGCAAATGGTAAAATTGCAACCCTTAACCACTGTCTTTCATCTAAAACTTGGAAATCCAAAAAATAAAAAATATAGAAATAACAATAATCAATGCTCAATGCACCCCTGACCCCCCCCCCCCCACACACACACACAAAAAAAAATATATATAGATGGAATAGAGAAAATGACCTTCCCAAACTTGAACAATAAAAGCATTTTTTTTAGAGCTAACCATTTTATTGGAGCTTGCAACATAAACAATGCTCGGCTTGATGTAAGCACCAATAGTCTGTCACAGCTAAGAGTGTCAAACGTGTCGGATTGAGTCATTTCGTGTCGGGTTGATTTTGAATTTGTGTTGAAAATATCAAAATTCAAATCTGACATATTTAATAATCGTGTTAAAATGTGTAAACACTAATCTGATCTAGCCATTAAATGGATTACCCGAACCCGACCTGTTTGACACATTTAATAAACAGGTCGTTGTCGAGTTAACACACATAATATGATCTATTTAACTTGTTTAGCACACATAACTTGTTTCTACACCAGTTCATTACTATTAAATATATCATTCAATCATTCATCCAAAATTTCAAATAATTTTGTTATAAATAATTTTTTCATCAATGAGATTAACTAAAATGCATTTAAGTTTCAAACCCATAAATTAAAGCAAGAACTATATTAGTATACTGTCATAATAATGTTAAAAATTATATTGTCAATTATTATAGTAGGAGCAAGAACTAATAAGTAATAATGGTAAGACCAAATTAGTCATACATAATAGGTAAACTATACTGACATAAACGGTTTAGCCGGATCTACAATGGGTTAGGTCGGGTTTGTGTTCGAATCTTTTAACCCGTTTAAAATATACAGGTTAATCAAGTTAAAATCGAGTTAACCTAATTTTGACATGAACCAGACATGAATTTTTTCGTGTTTAAGCGTGTTGTCCCGTTTTAACCCATTAACTCGTTCAATTTTGTGTCTGACCCATTAGTTTTGTGTTCGGTTTGGTTCGTGTCGAAAATTGACAGCTCTAGTCACATCCCAAGTTCACAACAAATTAGAAATAAACTCTTTTCATAAATTAGATAAATATAATACAAAGCAAAAGCGTGTGAATTGTGCATAATTCATAGAGAAAACAGTCTAAAGTAGGGAAGATAAAACAAAAGTTCAAACTGAATCCGTTCAATAAAATTCAAAACCCCAAAAACCAACCAAATTATCTGTCAAATTTCTTCAATTAAATTTAGCTCTACAAATACCCATGCATGTATAGATACACTATCTAATGCCCATGCCTAAAGACACTCTATAACATAAAATAAATCATTAATTAGAAACTTTCTAATTAGGAGACAACTAAATCACGTCAAACTCCTAGAACGAATATATAGAAAGTAATAAGGAAGCAAAAAAAATAAAAAGATCAAGACATACCTATATAAGTGCAACAGTCGTTCATTTCGTTCTTTCAATTTCACTGCTGGTGATTCTAGCCCAACTTGGTACACCTCAATTCAACCCACAAAACAAATACCATCAAGATATGGTAATGCCAAAAAAAAAAAAACACCACAAAACAAGATGTTGTCAAAATCTTTAATTTTTACTTACTTTCGCTAACTCGAACTAGTTGTCTCGTGACAGCTTCCGTGAAGAAAATGTACTCCACTTATTATCCAATAAAATGGGTCTAGTCTCTTCAAAAAAAAAAAAAAAACTTAGCCACATTTCATGGTTGTCAATTAAGAACTACTAATACTAAGTACTTTCGAAGAGATGACCCAACAAACCGGTTAGTAAGAAAGATGACGAAAATCCAGTATAAAGATCAACCAAACCACCACATTTTTCCCATACTGGAATATTTTTTGATTTGAGAAAAGCCTATCCTCTATTTGGCCCTAAAGAAATGGCAATAAAAGCCAACTTTCTCATTATTTGAATCCCTATGTAATAAAACTATAAAATTCTTACAAAATATATTAAAAAATAGAACAGAGTTCCTTACATTATGAAAGGCATCAAAATGAGTTGCCAACCCCAACTTGTAGTGAAGAACATATAAGGATGATTATGATAATAGTGGCGGTGTTAGTGATGCCGACAATTTACTCATTAAAAAATAATCATTTGTTTTAGTTATAAGATTGCAAGGTTCTAATTAATTTAATTACACATGAGATGTTGGGTTGGTCAGTTTCAGTCCTGACAAAAAATACAACCTGCTGATCTATAATTTTGTTGAGTTTGGTTCACTATCAAACCACAACATACATTAAAAGATGCTCCACTGGTCATGACCTGGATTAATTTGTTGATAGATGGGATCATTTGGAAACTACAAACAAATTAAACAATAACAACAGTCAAAGTATACCTTTATCATCATAAAAACCAAAAAAGAGACCTTCGTGGTGAAATTGAACCAAAGTTGTTTCCTTTAGTCACATAATTAGGCCAAATCCCCGCAACCATGCCCGTCCAAGACTAACATGATTATTCCAGTAAAGTTAAAGCCGAAAATAAAAGCACAATGCATCATAATTGATTACCAGGAAACAATATATGTTGTACCAGGCTGCAGGGATAGATCATTATTCTTTACAAGTTTCATTATTTCAACCAGGAATTTAAAATCATTTTGTTGTCTACAAAACAACTGTAGTAACATGACACCCTGTATTAAATTTGTGCAACAGCAAAAAACAGTGCAGACAACGTTGAGGAATAGTCAAGTTATATATAATAGTTATGGTGGGCAGATCCAATAGTAGGAGTCAATCCATACACATTATGCTTCCACAATGCCTTCTTACCCGCATTCAAAGAACGTTGAGGGATAGTCAAGTTATATATACTAGTTATGGTGGGCAAATCCAATAGTAGGAGTCAATCCATACACATTATGCTTCCACAATGCCTTCTTATCCGCATTCAAAGTAAATCTTGATCAATTTTCATTTAAATATCATGTTTCACATTTAACTACATTCCTCACATGCATTTTGTCAAACATCTTACGCTCGTACTTTGAATCCCCGCACTTGAAGCAAAGGTCTATCAAGCCTCATACAATATTAGATTTAGACAAAAGTACTTACACTGACAATAACTACGTTTTTTTTTTTTTTTTTTTGTTTTAGAGTAGGGGGAGGGGGGATTTGAACCCTTGACCTAAAGAAGGCAAAACCTTCACAAAGTAAGGAGTATCATTTAACCAAAGACCCCTTGGTATAATAACTACGTTATGAATATAAAGAATTATGCTAAATGTGGTAAACATATTTAGAACAGTCACTGAACTTGTTTAACAATCATATTTAGTCATGAAAAGTATGTAAAATTGATTAAAACCGACCTCCCCCCCCCCCCCCCCCCCCAAAAAAAAAAAAACAACCTTCTAAACCAACTTTAAGAATTGGATATACAAGCTAACCTTAATTGAAGTTGGCAATGAGGAATTTGGAGCTTGAAGTGAGGTACTCACTGTAGACACTACAGTTGATGCAGCTACACATAACAGTGCCAAGCATAACACAAATCAGTCAAACAAACACTGAAATTCAAAGCACAATAGCATAAATAGGCACAAACCTAATCAATTGCTAATGGGCTCTTGACGGTGGCCTGTGGTGTGATAGCTCGATTGTGGTGGTCACCATGATTGGATTTGGTTTTTGAATGGATGGGGGTTTTTGGTGGGCGGAGTTGTAAGGGCAAGACTATGATGTTGTGCGACATTGAAACTCGGCTCCAATCAAACCATGCCTCTTTGATGGATATACCTTGATCTCAAATCTACGAATAACATGGTATTATCTTCAATGATTGTGTATGTGGGAGTGGCAAATGTCGATGGCGAATGGTGGTATGAAGGGGCCATGTCGGTGGATGTGGGTTCTTCGCTGGGTTACTGGATATTGGTGGTCACCGGGGAGGAAGAGCAACACGTCGGCGATGACGAGTCAGTGGCGTCTTGAATGTTGGTGATGTTGTGCGGCTGGGTTGATGCAGACAATGAAAAGAGATAGAAGAGAGAGATGTGGGAGAGGTGAAAGGGTGGAGTAAATGTGTTGTTGTCGACGCAAAATAGAGAAGAAATAGGTGAGGGAGAGGAGAACAGAGAGGGGTGGGTGAGAAAGATAAGCAAAGAAGATTGAGAAACTGAGGAAGGAAAGAGCACGAGTGAGGACCTGACAGATAATGAGAGACATTGAGGGGATTCAAAAAAAGAGAATTTTGGGCATGATAAAAATTTTGGTAGTTAATCTGGTTCATTGGATCAATAATTATAAAATGATCTGAAACGTCAATACCTTGAGAAAAGTTGGAATAATGTAATCCGTAGAATTTAACCTTAATTTATTCAGAATAAGGATCAAAATTTTGTTTCAGCACAATTTCAATGAGCTTGAAAACGGAAACAAGATGGAAATAAATAAAAATTAAAAAATTTATTTTTAAAACATTAGTTGAAATATACCGAAACATTTTGAAACATGTCGAAACACCTCGAAACCTACCTAAAAACACTTCGAAATATTTTGAAATATAGAAATTTTGATATTCAATCAATTATTCGTTTTGGTCTCCATGAAAATTGAAACGTTTTGGACGTTTTGAAACGAAATTTAATTCCTTGATTCATAATTAATTTGAGACGAAATAGCTTGAGATAAATTGAGAATTCAAAACTTGTTCTGCTTTATTATATATATTAAATAACCATCTACTCAATAAGTTTAAGCTGTTGAAAAGTGCGTATTAAGTATTTATACTTCAACACGTCCCCTTGTGTGCAAACTAAAATTCAGGCCTAACACGAACACAGGACCTCTTACACTGAGACCATGTTAAACAACCATCTATTCCAAAACCTTAAACTATTGGAGAGGGTGTAACTTAACTACTTATACTTCAACAATATAAATGTATATATATACATATATATAGAAATTGTACCCATTATTTGACATTCTTATAAAAAGTACACTATGAGGGAGTTAGTGGCTTTATGTGTGTGTGTGCGCGAGAGAGAGAGAGTATGTTATATGAAGAGGACTGAATTATAAAAGATCTTGGTGGTCAATTTGTCGAATCAGAGGCCTCATATCTTAAGAGAAATTTTGTCTAACATGTGGATGTGGTTGGTGGAGGAAGGGGGCCCTTTTGGGTGCGGTGCCGGTGATTGTAATTTGGGGAAAAGGCAAAGATCTAACATTGTGGTAGTGAGTGAAGAGGAGGAAGGGAGCAGTTGCTGGTGCTGGATGTGCTGGGCAGTGGGCCTTTGTGGAGAAAGAGCAAAGGGAGTTGGTGGGCCTGGTTGGTGGCAAGTGGGTGGAGGTGGGTGTGGGATGGATGGTGACTTCGGGTGGGGGCGAAGGAGAGAGAGGGAGATGCCTGGTGGGTGGCTTCGTTGGGCTAGCAGTGTCGCTGGTGGGTGTGGGTTGTATATGCTGTCGTTAGGTCGTTGGTGGTGGGTGGTGTGCCTCAGTCAGAGATAAGACAAAGAAAAGAGAGGGATGAGAGCAGAGAGAGGGAGAAGAGAAACGGGGGATTGATTTTGGGAGAGAGGGGATTGACAGAGGCAGATAGAGAAGACAGAGGAGATGAGTCAAGGACGGGGTTTTTCAACGTGAGTGGGAAAAAAAATTCTGGACAATGATCTTATACCATTAGATCAAGTTTGGATGAAGCTGGACTGTTAATTGTTGTTTTGTGGGTGTAGACTTCTGAAAACCTTTCTATCTTAATATATAGATGTTTGTCATTAGGGTAGTCTAGGGCTTTCTTTATGGTTTTCTTTTTCTATACTAGCTGATGTCCATTTGCGTTACACTTGGATAACTTCGAATTAGTTTTATTTTGTATTTTATTTCCAATTTAAACAATGCAATGATAAATGAAGTTCGATACAAAAGTCTAACCTATTGATCATAGAATAGGTCATCGATTATGCAAAACAAACTTTCTTTTAGTCAATGTAAGATACAAAAAAAAATATGTTTAGTTGATGCATACATATGTTGTGCTTGAATTATTTTGAGTCATAGTTTTGCAACTGATTTCATTATGAAAGTATCACAATATGACTTAAAGTTTTTCTTTGAGAAGGTTCATACTTTTTAACCCCAAAAATTACCTGTTTCATGTCCAAATATTGGGTCGGATGGCTATCATGGATCATTACTAATATGATTGGATTCTTGGTGCCATTTAGAATGACTCAATTCTCAATAACATTGCCTTCTAAATTCTCAAAAGTTAATTGACGTAACATCAAGTTTAATATTGTGTTTCTTAATGATAGATTGAAAGATATAAAAGTTAAAGTAGGTCCAATTCCGTCCTTCCATTCAAAATGAAAAAGCTCAACTTAGCCCTACCAGAGACAATGGTGAGGGATACCAGATTTTAGCTGACCATACACGTATACTAGCAGCAAACAACTTTCACAGAGTATTTGGCAGCTTGAAATCAAAGTCTCAGAAACAAAATTAGTTAAAAATTTCTTTGATTTTTCTTGAATTCCAATTCCACTGCCCAAGTTACACATGCCAAACCTGGCATTCATGTAGTTTAGACTTTGCTATACAAAACAACTTATCTCAATCTGATCACACAATGAAGTTGATCATGCAACAGTTAATCTATCCATCATTACCAGACGTTTTTACTATTATTTCAGAACATAACCCCCCCCCCGCGGGAGACCCTCTTGTTTTTTTTCTGTTTCCTGTTTTGCTGCATGAACATTCTGAACTAAGCTTCATATGTGCGCTCATGCATCACAATATAAACCATATAAATTCTCAAAATAAGCTACACAACTTAACAACCTTGTTTAAGAATAGCATCAATTCAAGTCCAGATTCTCTGCAAATACGTAGATTGATCAGTTAAAACCATGATGAACCCAAAGGTTTTAGGTTACATCAAGAGCAAAAAGACTCGTAGACAGCAAAGTGGACATGATAAAACTCACAAGTCGTATCTCATCACTAACTAATTTGGCACAAGACCATTCTTTGAAGACAACACTCACTGGACACACTTAATTACCTCACAGGTCACTCATTTACAACAGAGACTCTAAACTTCCAAGTCACACTTATATTTTACACACTTTGTGGACATGCAAGGCTTACTCTCAAGGTTAGACACTTGCCTAGTCATAAACAAAATGAATAATTTTCAGCTCCTTAGATAAATTATAGTTCGGGAGCACATGAAACTGTTTAATGTAAAACCAAAAAGAAAATGAAGCTAATGTAAGTTGGAAGCATTCCCCAAGAGTCAAACCAGAAATAGGGACTGATGCAGATCCAATGATCATAAACCAGCCATGAAAGGTACTCAACCTGTAAAAAATATAAGATATAATGGCGACTACCCACATGCTACACCGTCTCTGTCACTTTTCCCCTATATTTCGCACATGACACTGGGCCGAACTCTCACAAAAGTCAGCCACCCTCTTGAAGCCCCCCCAATATGTCAGAAAAAGATGAAGAAAAATTAAACCAAACTGATCGATAGCATACCAAACCTGATCACACAAAGCCAAAAACCAAAGTAAGAGAAAACACCATTGTATATAGACTCAATATGCATACTCAGAGTGCAGAAAAATTAATCACTTTCTTGGAACCAAAGAAAAGTTGTTATTCAACGTTAAAATCAGCTGGTTTTCTTGTGAATAAATTGAACTAATAAAGAAAAAGCCTAAGCCCATAGTTCCAAAGAATTACATAGTTTTATCACAAATTTGACCAGAAGTGAGAGTAAACAGAACGATGTATAATATATTGTTGTAGATCCACATGTTAAAGACCAAATCTTGTGCACAATATCAGCCAAAATTTAGGACATTAAAAGGTAAAATTAAGGGGCCCTGGCCCATAATCAGATCTGGCTGACTAAAGTCAAGAAAACCCAATTGGAAGGCAAGCAAAGTTTTCATAATTCAAACACGAGAGCAATTTTGCAGCCAAACATGAATTTGATAACACAATGCAAGGATCTGAGGGGATGTAACAAAGAAAGCATAAAAGAGTACAAATTCAAACATGAGAGCAATTTTGCAGCCAAATAGGGGTCTGATAACACAATGCAAGGATCTGAATGGATCGAACAAAAATAGCATAAAAAGTACCAAGAGAAACATGAGAATAGACTGAGATGATATGTGAGAGAAAATGGTGATCAAATATGAACGTTTACCTACATATCTGAGCTTCTCATATACATGTAGATGAGAAAAATGTTTAAAACTCAATATCTACAATCTTTCAGAAATAAGCCATGTAGAGATTGAATAATGAGAGATCTCTCTGAACTTGATTGATTCTGTAAGACAGAATGTGAGAGAGAGAGAGAGAGAGAGAAGGACCTAGGATAAGGGGACATGGGGAGGCAAAGACCAAGAATCAACATATCGTTTTGACGTATTGTTTTGGTCACCTAAGAAATGCAAACATTTCGAAAATGTTTGGGAAACATAGTGAAATAGATAAAAATTTAGGGATTTATTTTTAAAACATTTCAAAATATTGGTTTAAACATAGTTAAAAATCTTGAAACATCTCGAAATATTCTAAAACATTGGTGAAAACATATTGAAACATCTCGAAAAAAACTCAATATTCCGAAATACGTTGAAGTATTAGAATTTCGATTCAATCAATGTTCGTTTCGATCTCCTTAAAAACGGAAACGTTTTGACCGTTTTGACACGATATTTTGATCCTTGGCAAAGACTTAGATATAACAACTTCATGCCAACACACTACAAGACCCAACATCTATTTATGGATTCTCTAAGTCGGTCTGCATAAAGATTCATTGATGTATAACTAAATCTAAGCGACACAATCGACCTCTTCCAAATTTCAAGTAGAAGCTAACAATACCTTTGCAAAACAACAATTTCACAACAAATCTTATTCAATAAAAAACAATTTCATTACAGAACTTAGATTCAACTCTCGCTTGTATGTACTTAAGTTCAGGCACACAAAGCGATAGAGATTCACACGTATACATACAAAACTCAAGCCAGAATAAACTTAAGATCAATAATCAAAATGACCTAGGAGTTGTCTCTTCATTCATTCGTCTGACCATCCTTTAGAATTTTCAATGATTTAAAATAACCACCAAAAAATTTTGGATTCCAACTAAGGAGAAAAGGTTTGATGGCCCACTTGGAGAGATATAGATCGAAATCTTCTTTGGATCTCCAAATCAATTATAAATTCTTCTCAAGCAAAATAATATTTTTTAAAATTTACACATTTATAGTTTATTTTGTCCCATAATCGAATTTTCATTTGGGTAGCTCTGATAATATAAATTGTTGAACACTCTAAAAAAAAAAAAAAGAAGCCAAGCAACAGATATATCACCCCATGAATCTAGAACAAACAAACTAACTTGTAAAAAAAGGAAAGGAAAAAAAATCAAAATTTACCAGAGGAAGAGATGACGGGAGTAGAACCTTTCTTCTCGTTTTTCTCATTGTAAGCTCTACATTACCCACACTTGACTGGTGGGCTAAAGCCATTAATAACAACCCAGTACTGTACTTTATGATGATCGTCAAACAAACACCAACAAAGTGCTTGCTCCTTTACTTTATAAAGGCATTTATACCAAAACTATATTTTCCCAATGGACTAACAATCTTAAAAAATTGACTTCTTTTGTAATAAAGTTGCAAAACATTATTTTCCAGAATCTAACAGGAATGCAACATTCAATCCAAACTAACATATTTATTTGCCAAAAAAACCCTAACCAACAAATTTCAACCGGAAGCAACAAAAAATATTATTGAAGAAATAAGGAAACATGCTATGAATTGGCACCACATATCAGGAGGTGTGGAAAGAGCAACTGTGAAAAAATACCCACCAATATGCATATAGATGAGGGTACAATTGATTGGTGATGGCAAGATTTGAATCAGTACCTGTTGAAGTATAGCTCAGAAAATGTGGTTATCACTGGGGATGATACCGCTGGTCTAGGGAGGGAGTTTGAAGTCTTCGTCGGTGAATTTGAGAACAGCAGTGAATGGAGCTCCCTCTGGAATGCTCAAGCCTGTAGATATCATAGAATTTAAACTAAAAATAATTGAAAGTTAGAGATCAAATATCAGAAAAGGGAAAACCCCCCAAAATACACCGAAAGAGTATTCTCTGGGATTATCAAAGCTTCTTAGAAGCCGATTGGATCTCTGGCTTGAGGAATGGGCTGACTATCTCTTCCAGATGCAGTCGTCGAACTGTGTTACCTCAGAAGGACTGTTAAAAAGGATAACATTGATTTTAAAGTGTTAAAACAAGGGACCTGTTAACTTCCTTGGAAAAAAAAAAGAAGGTAAGGTAGACGTTACAATTTCCCAAGCATAATATGAGAGGATAGGACGTAAAGGATATTAGTTGTTTTATTAAGGTTATTTTAATCAAACAAAAGTTTTTGACTTTTGGTGGTATTTTGT